AAGGAGCTGGCGCCGTTGGAACGTTGGAGGCTGTGGATTGTAAACGCGCATTTTTAAAAGACGCGAACCTGTTCGAATTAGAGTTTGTTCAAGGAAGATTCAATTTTTTCAGCGCTGTGCGGGATAGCTCCTAGCGTAACGAACAAGACAAGGTTAGTGCTTACTTCGCCTAAGTACCCGAACTTTTACGGACAGAGTGTAACGTGTCGCTGGCAGCTACAACTGTCGAGTGGTCAGAGCGAAAGGTTTTTAATACACTTCTTAGACTTGGACCTGCCTGACACGGCGAGATGTGACAACGACTATGTTCAAATTACCGATGCAGCAGTAAGTGATAGGCACTTTGTACATTTCAGAATTAGACAATGAGCTGACGAGTGGCAGATTTTTGTACATTGCGCGTTTGTTTTTGCAGAATCGAAGGTTCATCGACGAAGGTTTCGGAGAGAACTTCATTTGGAGCGGCGACCACTCGTATGAGTTTTACCTGGTGATTAAATTGCATCCGCCTTATTAATATCTCTGTCATTTTAATCCTCTTCGATTACATAATAATTTCAATTTCACTGCAGGACACCCACTCGCCTACTACGTCGTATAAGTACTGTGGCAAAGGACTGCCTCACGATTACTACAGGTACACTCTACAGGCCCAATGATCACGATCGCAACGTTATAAGATCCATTTTTGAATATTCTTTTGATATAGTTACAGTACCGAGGTCGAGGTGCTGTTCAAAGGAACCACCACCGGTCACAAGGGCTTCAAACTCGATTATGGAAGTTCGGGCTGCGATCGAAATTATACTGCGGAGCAGGGTCGAATCATCCACGAAATTGTCTCCGAGTGCTGGATCACAATCACTGCGCCAGTCAATCATACTATTTCGTTATACTTCAGCAAATTTATGCTCTACGATCCAGACATGTGCACAGGCTCCGCCCTTAAAGCAAGTGCTTCTCCTATATTCCACGTTTACTCTTTCAGACCTGCCGTCCACAATTGAGGGCGCAAAATTTAAAAATTACTGACACTATCTTTACATTCGTCACTATTCTTTTTATATTTTTTCCATACTAATTTTAATTCAAGTTAACCCTAAAAATTAAATTACATTAGCACAAGAAAAAAAATAATTCAAGTCTAAAAGGCTTAATTAAGGTGTCCCAGAAAATATTGCACATTCTGAAATTTTAATTAATTACCCTACAAATACCGGAAAAGTAACTCCAAGAATCCTGACACTTTGTGTCCAAAATGCTACACACGTTCGTGCTAAATAACGTTGCAATTGTTTTAATTATTTTTCGTTCCAAAAGTGTGCCACGAAAATGGTGATCCAAGGTGTAGATGGCACATTGGGGTATATTTTTAACTAGAATATACCTTTCATCAGAACTCTTCGAAATGAATAATGAAAACACTCAACATTTTATAGCTGTTGAAGAAATTTATCTAAATTAAATGACAGGTTTTACGTTCCCAAACAAATGGTTCATTATTAATATGTACATAAGTAAACTTTACACTCTAATGAGAAATTTGTTTGAAAACATCAAATTTATAATTTTATTTAGACAAATATCATCGATAGATATAGAGGGTAAGAATACTTATGAGACTGTAGTTTCATAATCGACATAAAAGTACCTTTGTATCAATGTATTACTTCATTGTACACATGTACACATGTATTAATACATGTGATCAGAAGGCGCAATATTTTGTGGGATACTCTAATATGTGTCAAGTCTCAATGGAAATTATCCGTTTCCCTTACTTCTTTTGTCCAGGTTTTCGACGGCACTTACAATGACAATCTTTTAGCCACGATGTGCGGCATGACAGAACCCAGTCCAATTTTCAGTACAGGCAACAAGTTGAGTTTACACTCCTGGTCGCAATGGCAAAATGCCTACGAATACTACGACATCACTTACACGACCACAACAGCAGGTACGCAAACTGAACAGAAAGTAATCTGAGATGGAGAGATTGTCCCTGAAACAAAGGCAGATACAGCGATCAAAATATTTGAGAATAGTTATTTCATTATATCCATCAAGATAGGTGAATTAATTCAATTTATTATCGCAACTGAAGTATTTACTCTTTGCCAGGTATAATCACCAGTAATGTGAACCAGTTGCTGCAATAATTTGAGAGATGGAAAGTATTGTATCATAGTTTTGAATAATCGGATTCTGTTACATTATTATTACTTAATCATGTTGGAACTTTCATTCTTCAATTATTCCAGTAAATGGTTCACCTTACAATACGTTATACACCAAGAGCGTCATTCTGGCTTACAATCGAATAATCATAGTACAAACTTTCATTGATTTTGCTATTTTGCCAGAGGTAATCAAATAGTACACAAATTTCTCACTAAACAGTGTAATTTACAAGACAAAAAAAATTTCCCTTAATTAATTATTTCTCAAATAGTCAACGTTTCGCGTTACATAAAATAATGGCTAATAGCGTCATTATGTACTTCGGTACCAGTCTACACATTTCGAATAAATAAAATACGAAATTTATGTTAACAAATTGCGTCGTTTAGGTCGCGGTTGCGGTGGTCGAATCTACAATTACGCGGGAACGTTCACATCTCCCATGTATCCGAATGAGTATCGCAACAATACTGTTTGTACCTGGGACGTGTCAGTGCCACGCGGCCTGAAGATCGTCTTAGAGTTCGCCGTGTTCGACATTGGCAGTAGCAGTGTCTGCGAAAACAAGGCCAACATCTTAAAGATTTACGACATCGGTGAAAACGGAGACCAGCTTCTGGCCAACACTTTTTGCGGAGGGGTAAATTTCCTATTCGCCACAATTTAACTCTGCATCCTAATTAACGCTAAAACTACCAACGCTCAATTCATACTTATGCACATCGCTACATTCTTGAAAATAGAAGGTGAAGGGGCGAATCAATTAATATATTAGGTCACCTCATATGTTCATACCACAGGTTGTGTTTACACTAAAACTATACAAATTTTATAACGATGTTACAATGACTTTGCCAGAAAATTTGGAAAAAGATCGTAGAAATAGAGGGTATTTACATTTCTTCGTAACACGAAAAGATATATTTTACATATTAATTCGAATTACAGAACAATGAGTGGCATGAACTTGTAAGGATGGTTTAATATATGTATTTAATTCCTTATTTCAATAATTCCTAAACAAAAATTACAGTGACAATGTTGTCAATAATTCAGTAATTTTAAAAAGAAGTTCAAAGTTCATGGATTAAAATTACGGGTTTGGTAGTCCTTGCGTTAAAAACGAACAGAGCCTAATCACTGCATTTCCTTCTATTCAGGATTACCCGGCGCCGATCGAGGCCATGAACGAGCGAGTCCTCGTATCGTACACATCGACACCAAATAACGTTGGAACCGGTTGGATCATTCATTTTAAAGCAAAGGCTGATTGACAGTAATTCGAAGGTTGGGAAGCCTATTCTTACATGAGCTACGTACAAAAAAGTTAGATAGAATATTGCGTGTAGATGTTTAAGTCGATCCAAACAGTTTCTTAGCTATTAAAAATATGAAGGACACTTGAGTATATTCAAAAAAAAAATCCCTCTGTGTATTTTTACCCTCTTATCAGTAATTATTTAATTCTACTATTAACAATCGTGAATATATGTCACTGAAAGCAACTAGTGATTATTGAAAACATTTTAAATAAATATTCAATAGCTAAAGAATTTCACGACTCGACGCAAACAACTGTTACGACTATTTCCAAAAAGTATTTATTCGTTGAATTGCATGTATACATTTGTCAGGTTAATACCATGGTTTGTATACTTTTCTGTTTCTTTAGCACATCCTGATACTCTGACGAAAATCTGGCAATGTTAAGATCGGTGATGATTCCTCGATCATTGTTATTTGTAAATAAGGAATGCTACAATGCAGCGTTAATGTTTATGACTACATGTAAATAGGGACTAAATAAATGAGATTTAATACAACATGTGACATTCCTCTACCTCTTCAACATTTTTGCTGTTCATCTATTGTTTTAATTTCTTATTGTTTTCTGTTCTACGACTGTTGATCTATCCTTCATCTTCACATTCTTGGAAGTCTTTTTCGAATTCTTCTGATTACCTTCTTGCGATTCCACCGAGTATCTGGACCTCATCTTGCGCTCAACGTTGTCAACATCGTGGAATATCTCTGGTAATATGAACGTACCAACGGTTGAAACCATACCATCAATGGTTACTTTGTGACCATACTGTTGAATCATAAGATCTCAACAAAACCGAAAGCTCCTCGCATTAAAGCTTCGCTATTTCTCTACTAGATCACGCCACCTAAACCTTAACCCGTTGACAGAACTGGATTCAAGGACTTTAAACTCGAATATGGCAATCGAACACTTTACCAAAGGGTCACTGAATGTTGACCAATAATCGATATAAAGAATAATTTTTAGCACATGTCCCATTTCCTGATATATCTATTCTCTCTTATTCAAGGCATTAGATTGTCCAATACATTCCCACTTTTTTTAATATTGTCAAGATTTTATCGATAATTTAATTTTACCTGATTCGTAGTATATACAAATCCAGCCAAATATTTGGTACCAGCTGGTTGAACTGATATTTATTTTCATTCAGGATGACTCTGCGCCGTTCCAAGCCAACAGCGGTCGAATCATCATAGCATATACATCGACGATGAATAACATTGGAATTGATTGGCTCATCCGTTTTAGATAAATATCTGTTCAATCTTAACTCGAAGATCAGAGCGTCTACTCTTCCGCGAATAATTCATAAAAAATAAATATTGGATAGTGGCTGTACGATAAATAAGCCTAATATTTTTATATTTTGAACCAAGCAAGTTACTAAATTTTTATTCAAAATGTTTCTGACGTTTCTAATTTAGTATGATTTACGAATACAAAGAATACGCAGTCATTGTATTAACAAGTACTCAGAGTAATGGTGATATCTATTTATAAAAAATATTTATTCATCGATATATAACTATATACATTTCATAGGATAATGACATTGTTCGTTTTTTTATTTTTTATTTTTTCAGTAAGCATGAGGTACCTGAAATTAAGGAATGTTACGTGTATTTGTATGACTGGATGTAAACATAGATTAAATAAATGTGATGTAAATCAACGTGTGACATTCCGATCGGTTCATCTGTAATTTATCATTACCTCTATTAATACTTGTTAGTATCAATAGATAATACAATCTCAATGATTCGCAACCTTCATATATCCACATACCGATGCACTGACAAGATATGATATTATAAAATGTCGCGTTTATTCGTACATTCAAACTTTACGCTTCGTTACACCCCTGCGCGCCATCTTCATTCATTTCATCTCCCGCTTTCTGGCAACTTGGTTCCTCTTCCTGCTCAGCTGCGTCATCCTGTCGACCATTCGCAAGGGTTTCTTCCTCCGCCTGTTCTTCTTCCTGGACTATCTCCCTCTTCTTCCTATTTTTCTCCTGCTTGTTTTTTCCACCCTTCTTCTTGTCCTTCTTGGTGCGCTTCGCTTTAGGTTCGGCCACTTCAGCTTCTACTGGTTTCTCCTCGACTACGGTCTCCTCGTCAACTTTCCTCGGTTCGAGCTTCTTCTTCTTGTCCTTCTTCGTTACTTTTTCAACCTTTTCAGCGTCATTGCTCTCCATTTCTCGTTTCGATTTCTTTGTGACCTCCAACTCAGCCTCCTCTTCGACTTGAGATTTGTCCTTCAGTTTCTTGTCCTTCGGAGCTTTCTTTGATTTCTTCTGATGGGCATCTTGCGATTCCACCGTATACTTCGACTGCTTCTTCTTAGACTTGTCCTTGGGGACATCGCCCGAGTTCTCACGAGGATCGACGTTTTCCTTTTCCTTCAGCTTCTTGTTCTTCGATTTGCCTGGTTTCGCGGAGTCCTCGGCTTGCACGTTGCTTTCAGAGTACGCCTCTTCGTTCTTGCCCTCGGACGAGCTGCTCCTCCTCTTCTTCGATTGCAGCTTCTTGCCTTCGCTCTCCTTCGACTTTTCTTCCCTGGAAAAATGGAATCGAGTGTCAGTAATCGCTCCTATCGTTATGCGAGCAAAGTCCACGACGACAGTCGAAGATAAGATGACCGCAAAACGGTTGCGTAATTGTTATTTCATTCAGCATGGATCGGATGCGTCTGCACCAGAGACTCATTCTCAAACACGAGATGCTAATATTACATCGCTATTTTACGGTTTGGTCTGCAAAGTCTTCGTAAACGGAAGTTAGGAAATTTTAGTACGGTATGTGCACCTAATTTCGACGATAACACAGTTGACATTTTCAATTTATTTCATTTGTATGTTTATTTTTGGTTTACTTTAGGTAAAATGTAAATAAATATGAAACAAGTTACACGAGGATTGCAGTCTTTGGATTTTTGGAAAGTGATAAACAATTGCCTTATTAGTAACGTAGAATATTCTTCTAAACCACATTGGTTTTTACACTGATTATTTTTTAACCATTTTGGCTTGCAGGTTAAGTTAATAACGTCATAGAGTAGCACTTTAATACTTAACATTTAGCATCGAATACGTTATTAATATTACAAACAAGATATTACACATTATTCTACAATGTTTATACTCAAATTATTGAGATTAGCAAAAATACCAACGAAAGTAAAAGAATCATAATTTGCATAATCAATTAAAGATTCAAAATGAAGTTTCCCATTTAATACAAAACTGCATATTCCTCGATATATTCAATTCAAGATCTTAATACTTCACTTTGCCAATAATGTAAATTTCTTCTTTTTATAATTCTAATAAACACTTTTACAAATAAATTCATACATCGTTTTCAATTAAAAGGACACTCAATCAAAATTATTTGAACGAATGGAAGCCACGATACTTACTTTGAGTACGCTACATCTTTCTTCTTCTTGTAGCCTTCCTTACCGCGGGATTCGGCTTCTTTGCCAGATTTCTTCGCGAACGCCTCGGTGGCTAGCACCGTGACTATTACGAGAATGGTTAACAGCACCCAAATCCTGAGAAACGCAGGAAAAGATTAAACAGCCATCGCTCGAACAAAGAACTAACACGAACGCAGCAGGATACTAAAATATTTCTCTCACCGCATTTTCGTTTCGCTTGGGGAATCACTGATCGATAATTACGCTTCTATGAACAGTATGATCGAATGCACAATCCAGCACAACACTGACTGCCGTTCGCTGGCTCCCTTATATCTTATACGTGTCCTCCGGTTGATATCTCGATAAACATACGTGGTGTGTTCTAGCGTTTGCGTGGCCCGCGAAGAAGATTGGCGATATCGGCGCCGATATCGTCGCGAAATCGATCCTAAACGGGGCATCCAGCTCTCAGGCAGCTTCAGGATACGTAAACTTCAAATTTCAAACTGGAAGATCGATCCTTTTATCCCGTTAACTCTAAAGCGTAAATCTAGCATTTGTTCTATAAGACAGGCCAATTTTTGGGAATTTTTAACGCGAAAACTATCTACCGGAAAAAGTTCAAATTTGAATACGCGAACATACACATCTTGAAGTATATATTGTTAAATATTGTTTTGAAAAATATTAGAAAATAGCGTAGTGATAGATTTTTTTCAAAAATAATGTAACAATGCAATTTTATTTTCATCTTTTTTAGTTTCCATTCATATTAAAGAGTTCAACATTACTGTGATGGCGTATGCTTAGATCGTTATGAGAAACTCAATATACTTTTTTTATCACATGTTTCCAGGTGACACATCTGGGACTCTACGGAGCTTTTAGAGCTACAGAAAAATAAAATACTGCTACTTAATACTTTATAATCTGCGATATTATTTGTCCTTGAACTGTAACAATAATAATAATACATATAAAACACACTCGCTAAGAATTCTAAATTTCCCAGATTTCAAATAAAATATCTACGTTTTCTATTTAATAAAATAATTAACTCGGAAAGGGATAAAACATTAACTGCCACCCACGAGTAAATAATGTGTAAATGGCATTTCAAGGATGAACAAAAATCAGTATGCATTGAAATCTGAATATTCGCGATAAAATGAAAAGAGTAACGAGTTATCTCATAGCTGGTGTCTATGGGGAATCATTTCATTCAAAACTACCAAGGCAATCAACGCATGAAGCGTAATTGATTCAACAAGCGTCGCTGTGCTCAAAATAGCAGAACATCCTCCTCTCATTATTGGCTTTTTCTTCGATATGCTTTCTCATTCACTCTTTTTTTGTTTTTAATATTGTTATCGCAACTTTCAGATGCATTAGCTCCTTCTGCGACTTCTATCACCAGACTAACGGGAGAAGAAATATTTAGGTCGTTTGATATCTAATCTATGTACTTGCAAGTTTTGACGTCACCGAGCACTCAATGGGGATACAATGTGACAAACATGTTTCTATTCCGCAGGTAATTTTCTAGAAACCCTACGTCAAATTATTCAGGTAGTCTATAAGCAAATGCAACGTGATTACTATGCTCATACTGTTCCAAATTGAGGTCAGTTTAATCTACAAGATCTGTTTAACACGTTCTGAAAGGTTGTCTATCATTTTTTAAGTATAATTATTTGTTTCTAACAAAATAGTTAAAATGGACCAGATATGAAATTTAAATTTAATGGGTTCGATAGCTTTGCCTTTGTCTTGAAAATGTCCCATGTGTCATCGAATGACTAAGACTAAGCACTAAACGAAATTTTGTGAATAAAGGGTTGTAGAGTCTATTTCTATTATTTTTGTTTTTTCATCATGATTTACGAATTCTATCCAAATTTGTTTTCATTAACCCTTAGCCATTAAAATTAATTGTTAAAGTTCCTTAAAGAAAAGTTCTGTCACTCATATATGGATGACGTGGCCTTCAACGTGTTGAGTCAGGCATTTCAATCCATCTTTGAGTCAACTTTCAAACAAGTCTTACTCATTCACTTATACGAATGCATCAACAAGAAATGGAACAATATATGGAAAATAGAAAAGATACTAAAAATCCATAAAATATCAGACGACTTTTCTGAACAATTCACCCACAGGACACTTCAATAAAACTGATTAAGTCAAAATTGGGCATACAAAATACATCCATCGACATCTACTTGGAAACATAATATTTACCTGGAACAATACGGAACCACTCCACATACAATACAATCTACAAAAACTATACAAAATAATCCAGCTACGTAAAAATGCACATATTTGGTCCAACATCTAACAATACGAATAACCACATAAAAATTGTTAATAACCAACGATTGATGCGACGTTAAATATGAAAGGAAAAGAAAGTCTTACTCATTGTGTTAAAATAAGTTTAAAAACTGATCTTTTTTTCTCCCTGTAATACCTGCAAGTGTTAAGTTTCTGAAACAGTTGATTGTGTAATTGTTTCCGCGATGGATGCCGTCTGTGGCACTATAAACAAGTTCAAGCGCAATTCATTCAATCCCTGCCGCTTAGAATATTCGGGGGAACCTCTATTGGTGAAAGTTGTTATGCCATGGCCTGGAGAACGCTATTCTCGGTAAATTTGTCACGAGCTTAAGCGTGGGAGTACCAAGGCTGATCTACACGAAACCGTTTCGCGTTATTTTTGAACATCCGAAGGACAATTGGGCAGAAGGCTGTCTTCTGGAGCGAATTTGCGTTGCGTTTATACTGGGTGTTCCATTCTAATACATTTAAATTTGGTACCAATCAATGACAATATCAATGAGACATTTCAAGTAAAATCTAAAACGTATTGAAGAGATAGAAGGATTTACTCTGAAGAGTCAATTGTCTATGCAGATTCCTAAAAGGCAAAAACAACCCTTCATTCTTCCTAAATTGTTCTTGACACACATTAATTGTAGTAAATTAATATTTTCATAACAATATAAACTGTTTTCCTTTTACGAATTATACTTCAAGGATGACACACTACCTACCATTTTATCTGAAATCTTAGTATCTAGATTTCTAAATAATAAACTCACATGCGTTAAAAGAATATTCTAATCTAGAGCTTCAATTTTTAGTTTTTTTTAAGGATTTTTTGTAATCTATAAGGAACTTTTATAAAAGGTTTTACACACTTATTTATTCACATTTTATGAACATACACAATTTTTTGCAGGTAAAAATAATAAAAATTAAACGTAATACAAGTGATCTTCTATAGTCCTTCTAAAGTTTTTCATACCAAACACGTATACTTACGTTCCCGATGAAAATTCAATCCTCGTGTACTTGCTTGTTGAAAATGAATGTCACTTTTGCACATTTTACACATTACTAACGAACAAATTGTACTAAAAACTGCGAGGAAATTTAAAATAGAGTATCCAAATGAACTGCAAACGATAAAGTTGTTGCGGACACCATTTTCATTCCAAATCCTTCGACAGATATATTTTCAAAGGTTTACACTTTGAGAAAATGCAAAAACAAAATCGATATTTAGAAAGTTCTAAACTAGAATACCGCCTTGAAAGAAAAAGAATTAATATATAAAAATAATTCATCAAATCTGGATAAAAATACGAAAAACTTAAAGTCACATTACCAATTGAAGTAATACTTTCTAATATACGCACTTTTAAGATCACGAGGAATCAAATTAAAATTGAATCAGGAGTACAATTACATTCTTATCGGACGTAATAATAGCGAATTTCTCGATGTATCTTCTTTTACGAGCTTTCATGTCTCGATTTAACACTGTATACTTTCTGTTGTCACAAGATACGAACATTATGTAATGGTAGCTTTATTTTAGGAATCATTTCACGAGATTATCGCTGCTTTCCTGTAATAGTGGCCTAACAAATTTCTTAAACATACAGTACATTCTTTATCTGCCATTGTTTGACAAGGCTCGTTGAAGTCTATTTTTTGATGAAACCTGCAACAAAGTGCGTCGCGATACCTTGAAAAGATAAATGAATTGCGCAAATTGATTTTTTATCTGCGATCTTTTATCGCATTCGTCAGGTCATTTGCTCGACTTATCTTTCGATTGTTTTTATGCTATTCAAAGACGTGTAGAAATTTCATTGCTTGTACGCTCGATCTCGAGATATCTGTATTATTAAAATTATACAAAAACGTGTGACGCAAGTGTCGGTATTGATTGACTAATCAAAAGTGTCTATCAGTTCTGTTGACTTCTATTAAAAAACTCCTGATTTTATGATAACATTCCTGGATAATGAGTTTCCTAGTTAAAAAGACAGTTCACTTAGTGAAATAATATGTAATTGTATATTTGTTTCATTTACATACATTTCCGTATCAATAAATACGCGCCACGAATTTCGTGGCGTTAGATCAATTTTTGTTACAAAGTAGTGCAATTTAGTTTGAAAAACACTCGTGGTCCATCGATAGTTTCCGAGCTGTCAGTCGACGATTATCGCGATTACAACGTAACGCAATTTCGAATTACACTTTGAGATGATACCGATGACTGAAGTGACGCGTGACTGGCGCATGGCTCACGAAGGACGTTGAAGTGTACACATAGACAATTGTAAATTAAAAATAGAATTGTTCGCAAGATCGAAGGAACGCAGAGTAGAATAAGAATTGTCGATGAAAAGTCTGGCTCTGCCCTGAATGTACAACCTGTATCCGTCGCGCGCGCATAGTTAACGCGCTGAATTGTTTTCATTTTATTTAGTATTACAGTGTATATCAATTCGTTTCTTATAGACTGTTAAGTATTCGCATGTAACTTAAAGTACTCGCTTATAAATAACGAACAAAGAAAACAACGTGGCTTATCGTTATCGTACCTAAACGGGGCCAGTATAAAAATAATTAAAATTACAATACTTGCAAGGATCATTTCTTAACTTTGTGTACCTTACGAATGGAATCATTAAGTTTCAAGCTAAAAAAGAAAAGAGATAGTTCCGGAGAAAGAGAGACAGAGAGAGAGAGAGAGAGAGAGAGAGAGAGAGAGAGAGAGAGAGAGAAACGTTTCTTTTTGCATATTTTCTTTCGTAAATGTTTGCATTTTACAGAGCAGTGACTGGTAAATTATGATCGAATCAACGGTGACGTAATGAAAATATTAAGTACTAATTAAGTAAACTACTTGCGCCTAAGGCTTTTGTGTCCGATCTATTTTGTAAAAGAAACGTAGAAATGATCGAGAACCGTGCCTAACGGAAGGCACTAATCAGTATAGTATAACTTCTCTATCTGTCATTTGTTTTTGTACATTGTACTTTTCTCCTTTTTTTTTATGACCTATTCGACGTTCGTGGAGCTGCAAACTTCATTGCAAACATGGCGTAAGTACAGATAACACGGAATTTATGCAAACATCTCTTTTTGCACGGCATATCTAAAGGGTTAATAAAATAACACCGGCAACATTGTAGAGATGTTTTTACTTACACGTTACGTGGAACAATCTACCAAAAAAAGGACCTTCTGGAGTGTATGCTTTCACTCTCGACGAACAAAAAGAAACGAGAAAAATGAATCTCACGATATCATCGTCGTTGATTTGTAACTTAATCTCTGATGCGTTTAAACGAATGCAAAAATGTAAAGCAACAGCTCCCAAACATTCAGGCTTTTGTTACTGTAAGAAAAATCGTCCATCAGTCTTCTCTTCGAAAAACATCAAATTTTAATTCCTAGCATCAGGTGATTGGTTACAAATATGAACCTTAAATACGGAAATTATTGTAGGATAAAAAGAAACTAGGGGTGTTTCTATTGGCTTGGGAGCTGTTGGTTTAATGCTTCGACAAGATCCATTCCTTCTATAGATATTTACTAAGATTCGAACGATATTAATCGATAGCTCAAGGTCACTTCTCCTTTGCACGCTTACTTCTACGCGAATAGGTTAGGTAGGTACCCAATGTGATCGAGGCAGCGGCCTCGAGTATCCATACGATCTCGTTTCGACTACGATGGTTGAGGTGTCTCGATAAGTAAAAAAGGTTTTCATCACAGAGAACATAAGCGAGCAGGTGATCGCTTAAGGTCATGGCTGAAATAAGTAATTAGCGCTGCGGGTATTTGTGCTTTCACCACGACACACCTTTGCGAAAAGTACGTAACAGAAGAAGAAAATGAAAACTGTAGCAACATCCTCACAGAACTATTCTTCAAAAGTTACAATGTACATACCCTGACATATATAATCGCCTCTCTCGCGTCTACTACGGGTTTATTTACATAGATACAGCGACGTCACGAAAAAATAGATGTGTATCCCACGTACAGAGGTCCGACTATTTCGTCCTTCTCGAGATCAAGTGAGAAGTATATGTTTTGACACAGATCACAATTCGTGCGTTTCACGCATCCGTTACGCTTCCTCGGAAACGTTCGATCGGGATTTAACGATTTTCCCGTTCTTTTGGGACGTCTCGTTCAAGGGCTGAGAATCTTCTTGCACCGACTGCGGATACTTCTGGTCGGGATAGTTCCACGCTTGGATATCGCCCGTTCCAAATATCTGATAGACAATGTACGTGCCGCACGCGACGCATGCAGTCACGCCGAACACTTTCCTCCATGCATCGAGGGCTTGCTGTGAAATTAATTTTTCGTTATTCGCGCGATCGATTCCTTCAACTGATCCCACATTGTAAAGCCAAGGTTTGCGGATGCGATGAAATGCCAACAGCGAAGTCTATTAGGTTGCCAAGCGTGGATAGAGAAGGAACTGGATTGCGAGATCGATACGACGCGGACATAAATTGAAACTTTCATTCTCTGAACTAATTCGCTTCATAAAGGCAAGGTTTGCAAGTGGGATGAAATGGCAAGAGTGAAAGCTACCAGGTTACCAAGCACTGCGAGGATAGATAAGACAATTGGAGACAAGGAATTGGATTCTGAGATCTATACGATCTACACAGTAAAAAATTGGAACTTTCATTCCCTAAATTCTGATATCACCAAAAGTGAATCAGGAAGGCAAGGAATTTGATTTCCGCTGTGGTGTATCGATAACAACAAAGTCATCATTCGAAGTAATTTAATACGTATGACACTAGTGGTTCAATTATCGTGATTTTATTTTTTTAAAACATGCCAATTAAGAACACATGGTTATGTAATAAAAATTGAACAGGATTTAGAACAGCGGTTTCTATAGGAAAGAAAACATATATAGCGGTGTCCAGGAATTGTTCTAAACCTTTGCGGACGGGGCGAAATTACCAGCGCACATTTCAGTAGAAACGTTTCTTTTTTTAATGTTAGCTGCAACGACCACAGTAATTCTTTCTGCGGAACACATATGAGTCACATATGATGAGTCTTTCGGCTCTATCAATTATTTTCGTCGAACGCATATGTACGGCCGTAGTCCGCAAAAGGTTAAGGAAATGGAATGAAATATTGCGTGTGCGACGACAATCTCAAAAGTTTCTCAGTCGAAGCAATCTTTTCTAAATATATTTCTAAATATAGTTATTCAGAATATTCTCAACCTGAATTTGTTGGATCATCTTCAGTGGTATAAAAAGAATATCTAAATTTATTTTAAACAAATGATACAATGAGCCAAGTGGAAGGAGGCACACGCTAAAGACAAGTATAAAATTAACTTATGAATATTATAGCCTTATATCTAATGGCGAGAATATTAGCTCCACGTTGCATAATACTTAGAAAAAGGGAAGAGGAATTATTTTCACAAACCAATCAATTAACTTTTACACGTAGCTTTAGGTCATTAAGTCAACAAAATTCTGAATAAATATATTTATGCACAAATGGTTGCCTGATTCGACTAATGATTGAGTTCAATCCCTTGACGTACAAATGAAACGTAACTTGATGCATTCAAAAGATATTATTTAATTTCGCTTAACTTAACAGTGACATGGAAGCTGAGAAAGAGTACATTTTACTTTGAAATTTCAATTTTTATACAAAATAATAATTTAATAATTTAATAGTTAATATACTGGCACATAAAATGAATAGACTCCAACTTGCCATTGTATATCAAGGGGTTAATGAAATCAGCATGGTGAAGATTCCGTTACGAGACTGAGACTGAACAAAATTTCACTTACGCTTTCCTGAGTGAGCAGGCCAGCTACAACCGGGGACAGGAAGCTCGCGGTCATGTGTATTGTCTGCGCGAACGCCAGTATCGGACCTGCAAGCAATCAACAAAACAAAAAACAAACGTTACACTTGGAATCATCGATCGACAACGTCTAGCGATTGTATCCAGCTCACCAGCGAAATTTGGCGCGATATCAACGATGCTTGCCATTGCCCCCGCATAGGCAGCAGTGATAAGGGTAACAGCTATGAACCACACCACTAAAACGAGGACTATGTCACAGCCCAAGTAGCCGATCAACACCAACATAATACCAGGAGCTACTTGTGCTGTAAAAAGGAGCGACGCAATTGTTACAAAACTATAAAATTAAGAGTACCCCCAATTTTTTCGAACAAAGATACGTACAGGCGGCAGTAAACACCTTGCGAACGTTTGTGAGCGACATGATCTGTCGCGTGACAAGGACGTCGGCCACGTAGCAGAACAAAACGGAGCTAAAGTAGCTGCAGATGAACGGTAAGCCTGAGAGGACACCGTTCTGAAAAGAAAGCAATAGCATTTGTAAGGATAATACTATCACACGAAGTGCACGCGTATTCGAAGCACGTACCGCTTGAATACTAAATCCCAAAACTGTCTTCATGTACATTGGCCCTGAGATGATGAAGATGTAATGCACCCATATCCTTCCAAACGTGGTGATCCCGATCGACCAGGCTGGCCACGAAGTGAGAATGGACCTCCACGGTACTGGTAGATTCTTCATAAAAAAAAAGAGAACGAATCATCCTTGACAATTGGCGAGGAAAAATTGCGATTATGGGACTAGTAGAAGGGGATCAATTAATCATTTGCACTCGGATGTCTCTTCTGAGAGGGCATCGTAAGTCCAGGTCGACCTTCATTAGTGATTACACAGGATAACTTATGGGAGCGTAAGTTTTGTAAAAGTATACGATTCCTTAAAGGTTTCTATTTAAATATCACGAAAAATCTAAGATTGCAACTTAAAAGATAAAAACTATCAATGCATATCTATGACTGTTTTACACATTATCTCATATCAGAAGAGTACAAAATTTTGATTTTTGACATAAATATCTATATTCCTCAATGTCTAACGATTCATACAAGCTCAAGTATCACAGTAAATTACACGCTTTACGAGTTATATTATGCAATATGACATGATTTCTGTTTACATACTCTGTAACAAAATGACTCCGAGTGCAAAGGATTAAACTTCCGCGGAGGAAACAGGAATATTTTGTCTGCACAAGCATGTAATCTATGTAAACGTGGTATGAATAATTAAAATGTGGAAATGTGGTATAACAGGTTGCCAATAAATAGTGTATTCATTTGATGCGAACAATAATCACATACAAGTATCCTACCAGTTAAGGATTCAAACAAATCAAAGCTTAATTGGCCAGAGATGTTTAAAACATTTTTGAACCTCGTAGACATATGAATAGTATATGTCAATACAAAATGCGTTTTAAATTCGTGGAAAAATATGTGGAGTGCCAATTTATGATATCTAGTAGGTAGACTTGAAAGGATAGGATAAATCACCGGAGAAGGTCATTGAATTTCTGATTAGATACGACCTGTATTCTACAGTTCCTTCACACTCATTGACGCCTACAGTTTGAGCGTGACATTCAACATTCTCGACCACTCCTTAGCTGGTAACAGCAGGAGGAAAACTGGGATTGGAATCTAGTTAAAGTTGAATTGGTACGTTAATCTTCTAAGGAATTAACAATTTCGCCTCAAATTTTGCAATGTAATAGCTATTTAAAACATGTAGACAATATGTTTGATTCAAGTATAAACCACGGCGACTATATATCCTAGCATTCGTACTGTAAGATTCTCCATGAAACAGAACGAATCACCTTCGGCAATTGATGTTACTTACAAGTTAACTGTGAAATCAGTGTAAGAAGTTGCCAATAAACAGTGAATTCACCTGCTGCGGTAGGATCTATACGTTTGCTTTATTTTTTTTTATTATACC